GGACATTAATTTAGTTTACCTATGAGCATTTGGATTGGATTGGATTGGATTGGACTTTGATTGCAACACTAATTCCATTTACGTCTTGTAATTACAAGTTCCGTTTTTCACATGTATTATTTAATCTGAAGTTGTCACAACACTTCACTACGCAGTTTCCACTGACTTTGGTTCTCTTATTTGAAAGCCTGTTGCTTATTTAGCTGATATGAAGGTATTTAAATGACACATTCCTATATTTTTCTATCAAATTTCTCAGTGACCTGAGTATTGAAAAAGGTTATATGTGCTCTTTACTGGTTTTTTTTACTCCTTTTCTTTTGTTTTTTTCTCATTAGCAGAAGCTTCCATGTTATGAATGTTTAAAAAACAAAGAAATATCTGGGTTTTCAGGTTGGCTTTGAATGATTAACTTAATGTACATTGCCATATATTTCCTGAGCAAAAATGGCCCTATTTAAAGGATATGTGGTTTCTCTGTCTCAATCAGGATGCCTAAATTTCTCCAAAATGGGTGTAGTATTGGATTAGTTTTAATATAACTGATTGCAGGCCACTTAAGCAGATTGTTGTTCAGGCTAGCAGTTTAGAAATGAATGTAAAAGCTTCTGAAGCATTCCAGTAATTGTCATAACAGAAATTGAGTAGTGTTTTTTAATGTTGCACTTAAATTCAGGAGTCTGACTAAGGCTCCTGGCACAAGTTTCAGTTATGGGGATATTAATATATTCAGTGCACCATGAATAACAACAACAGTACACATTCAGCCAATTTATGGTGCCATGAAGTGGCAAACCAGCCACAAAGATATTCTACACAACGTGAAGCATTTGTGGCTCATTTGTATGATGTCATAAATTGAACCTGTAGCACTGCCCGGCCTGAGCTGTCCAATGGATGATGAAAACAATCAACTGTCTTATCAGCCGTGGCTCTGGGTAGCCTGGGATCTTAACCCAATCCAGGGCTGAGGCCAACAATCAATTGGCATGGCAGGAGGTGTGATATTTGGGATGGATCATAACATCCCTCCAGTCCCAGTTAAATCATTGTTTGAATTACTAGGGCCTTAGTAATTTATTTTATGAAGTTGTGTATTTGCCAGAATTAGTGAAAATATTTTTGGATAGTCTTTGAAACAATTCAAGTAATAGATTTCCCTCCCTCTGTCCCCCTCAGCAAAAACCTGATCCCATTTGCCAGGAGAAAAGTCAGGTTGATTTTTAGGATTTTTAGCCCAAGATGAAAATTAAAATCTATTTCAGTGAAAGAAAGTTATTTTCAATCCAATTAAAACCCCTGGCACTAAAGACTACATTATTTAGAGGTCAAGAAAATATCTCCAGCCAGGAATATTACAATAGTGCAAAAGAGAAAAAGATCATAAAGTTCTTTTCTAGGATGAAAGGTCGCCTTCTAGGACCAGGTCACAAAATCCTTAGATGCAGGGGTAGCAGTGGACGTAGTCTTTCTGGACTTCAGGAATG